AACTATATTTTTTATATAATAATTATATTATTAATATTAATATTTTATTTTTTATTAAAAAATTAATACATTTTTTTATATTCACAGACAAATTTGCCTGCTCTACAGTTTAAGGGATAGCTGAAAGTGGTTTCTCTATCTAAATTTGATAATAATTCTAAGTCTAAGAACCCTATAGTTTAATATTTTGAAGGATTAACTTAGGTGACAATCTTAGATCAGTATTAGCAGAATAGGTTATTATTAGAATATATTATTTAGCTATATTCTTAAGAATCTTAAAGATTAGTATACTAAGTTACTACGTAATTTCAAATATATAAATAATTACTATATAAATTCTTATTACCTGAGTACTAAAACACTAAAAAAAGATATAGTAAAATTAAGCAATTAATAGTTAACTAACTAAAATTATATATAACTATTAAATTTTATATAATAAATAAGAAATTAATATTAAAATACTATATTTTGTTATTTAATTTATATGATACTAATATTTGATTTATTTACAAGATATAATAATACTCTAAAAAAAAGAAATAAAAATAATTTAATAGAAAATATTAAGAAAAATGATATACATAATCAATAATATAAACATAAAATGCATATTTCTGAACTTATATGAAAAATGTTAGAGAACTAAACCAAAAGCTAAAATATTATTTGAATATGGCATAATCAACCTTAATGATGGCATTATTTTAGAAGCTTTAAACCAATTAGTAATATCACATTTTGAAATAAAGATGCAAGAATATAAGCCTAAAAAAGCTTTATTCGTAGAAGTTATGAAAATCTTAAAAACATTTAATATTATAAATAATTGAAAATAATTCACAAGGAATAAATGATTAGAAGTTAATTATAATCTATTTTTCAGACATCCTTGAAAGACCTTGGAAAAGCACTTACCGAAGTTAAAATTGAATATAATAATTTAAACTATAATATTGTCTATTTGCATCATCTTTTCGAAAAATTGTAAGTATATGATTTATGACAATTGAAAAAGCAACCTTTTCTAACATGAATTTTACATACAGTTTTTTGTTATTTCAAGATAAATCAATAATAAACCTTGATAACAAAGACCTATCAGAAGGTTGGTATAACAACTACATTGTAGCGCTAATCTTCAATGATTGTCTCAAATTAATGAATAAATGTATTTTTTGATAGTATTTGTCGATAATATTTTGTGCTAATTTTTTAACTGATAAATCTGTTTATTATTTTGCATAATAATAGTGAAGTAGAAAGCTTTATACAAAAAATTATTGACAAAAAATCAAGAAAAAAGAAGAAATATGATAGAATTTTATCTTTTAACAGATAATTTAAATTTATTTTTATAGAGACAGCAATAACTTTCATACTCTTAAGGTTAGATAAAGATCTATTAAAGTTACATAATATTATCATTCTCATGTTTAAGCATATGGTATCTACTTTACCAGAAAAATTATTATACGAAATATCATCTATTCTAGTATTTTATGTATAATTTAGTGGTAAGTTAATTTTATTAATTATAGTAATTAGCAATCTGCTAATAACTTTTATCTGTTATGTTATAAAAACAAGCGTTAAAATTTATTTAGCTAACTGGCTAACAAACATGCAACCAGTAGATTTTTCAATTATAGATTTTGAAATAGCAGAAGAAGTAACAACATTTCCAAAAATGACAAAGGTTGTCGCAAAAATGCTATTATTATGAGTTATACCCTGTTGCACTAAGTGTGACTTATATCATAATTTCTCTAATGATAAAAATAAATGTTTTTTCTCTAGAATATTTTTAGACTATTTTTTTCACAGTAATAAACTTTTTCATAAACTTCAAATTATTTTATTTATTATAGATATATAAATTTACATTATTACCATTTTATCTATTTTAGTGCTTTAACAATAACTCTACTTTAACATTATTGATAATTTTGAATATTAGAATTTTCAATATTAATTTGCAAAATTTTTGACAAAATATTTGTAATGTATAAATCTTCTTTTATTTTAAATAAATGTTATTTGTTGTTAAAATAATTGAGAAATAGTAATAAAACCTAAAAATATATAAATTTTTAGATTAAAAGTAAAAGAATAAATACAGCATAATATAGATCTTGATTTTCAGATGTATTTTTCAATAAAGTATTTTGTTTTTTTTTTAGAAATTTTTTTAGAAGAAATTAGCTGCTTTTCTATAAGTATTAAAAAGATTTATTTAAGTTTTTGTACTATTATTTGTATTAACAATATTAGAGTAAGCTTGAATATTTAATCTGTAGGAATAATAATCGTTCATATGTTATTGATAATCTGTTCTATTTAGTTGATTCAATTAATAATATTTTCTTGATTTATTTATATTTTTTAAAAAGAATAAATGCATAATACCATTTTTATTTTTAAATCTTCAGATATATATTTAAAATTTAAGTAAATAAAAAATAATTTTTTGACAAAAAGAAAAAAAAAGAATAATTATTATACATATGATTGAAAGTATAAAAAAAACTATAAATAAATAATTGAATACATGATAATAATAATGTTAATAATTATCACAAATCACACATATCTAGATATAACTTAGTAATTATCTTCCTATTATATCTATGATTCATTGATATATTCTGCTAATATTTGATCTCTTTTTATAGTCTTTCATTCAAGATTTACATAAAAAATATCAAATACTGTTAATGAAAGAGGCTGATTATTATTTGGATGATAAAAATACCTGAATATCACTATTAAGAATGAAGGCTCATTATTAAGTAATTGCAGTAGATGATGAAAATTATTACACTAAATATTTATGGAAAACATAAAAGTATTATATGTTCACTTTTTACCTAATTGTACGCAAACTACATAGCTTAAATATAACACTTCAACAGAATAATAAAAATATAAATATGATCCAGATTTAACTGTTAATATTATACTTAATTTTATTTTACTTGTAATATATACATGATAAAAATCAAGCATATGATAGATAATCACTAGTTGAAATATGTCAAATCAGCTAGAAATTAAATAACTGATTTTAGGTTGATTTTAATACTATTTATAACTGATTAGTCATATTTTCTGATCAACACAAATATATACTAATCAATTTTAATTAGACAAAGCTATTTAATATCAATTCAGAACTTAAATTCAACTATAAATTAGCCTAAAATATTACTAAGTAATACTAATTAACTCTAATTAAACAAGCAATTCAGCATAATTTAGAACTTAAACAATTATCAATTAACATAAAATTAGACTCAATTTAGTATTATAACTTAAATTTAATTATAAATTAGTCTAAAATAGTTCTGATCAATATTAATTAATTCTAATTAGATTAGCACTTTCGCATCAATTCAATTAAATAAACATATAAAATTAGTACATTTTTATTTAATTAAATTTACTAAATATTAAAATTTTATTAATAATAAAAACCTAATATAAATTTATAAAAAACATAATAAAAATATTATTAAAATCTATTGATTAATTTCCTATTAAAAAAATAAGTAAAAAAATAATATAATAATAATATAATAAAATTATAATCTATATTCTTTTAAAATTCCCTAAAATTATTCTAAATATAATATCATCATTATTTAAATATTTAAATATGTAAAGATAAATAAATAAAATAATAAAAATAAATAAAAATCAAATTTTTTTAAATTTAAATTTCTTAAAAAACATAAAGATAAATAATAAAAATTAACTCTTTTCCTTAAAATTACCTAAAAAATGTAAAGATAAATAATAAAATAATAAAACATTAACTTTTTCTCTTTCTAAATCATTTGAAAATATAAGATAAATTATAAAAATTGAGTTTTTTTTCTCTTTCTAAATTACCTGAAAAATAAAGATAAATTATAAAATATACACTTTTTTCTTCTGAAATTGTCTAGAAAATTTAAAAATAATAAAAAATTAACTCTTTCCTTTTGAATTGTCTAAAAAAGTAAGGATAAATAATAAAATAATAAAAATCAACCTTTCCTCTAAAATCACCTAAAAAATATAAAAATAAATTATAAAAATCAATCTTTTTTTCTCTTAAATTTCCAAAATTTTTATTTACCATTATTTATTACAAGATTTTCTTCATCTTCATTTTTAACAGCAAATAATACTCTTCTTCTAACTTTATATATTTTTATTTATTTTCTATCATATATTCTTTAGTTATAGTATCTGCTTCAATTTTAGTATTATAAATCACATCAGTTTAAACTTTATACAATTATTTTAGAGTATTAATAAATATAACTAGTTGTAATACTATATATCATTATTGTATTTTTATTTTCATAGTATTTGAGATGATAATATAGTAATAAAATTAAGTATTTTGAAAAAGATATTTTAGCTAAAAGAAAAAAATGAGAAATATTTATAAAATATATTAAATAAATTCAAAAAATTAAATTAAATAAAGAAAATAATAAATCTTAATTAATCATCATAAATAATCATATATAGTAATAACAGATTTTTAGCAATTTTTTTATTCATTTTACTAATTCAAGTGAATAATATTGATGATCACTAAGCATTTAGAATAAAGATTACTATTTATATTTTATAATTTATTTATTAACTTCCTTAAACAAATATTTTGTAACCTTTACTTGCTGATCTATTTTTTAAAAAATAATAAATTATATTAAATTATTGATTTAAATAGATTCAAATTCAGAATTTATTTTATTTGCTTACATTATATACTTGATTATTATTATGTATTTACTGCTGTTTTAAATAATACTTTTTGCTTTTTTTTATTCTTTAAGTTGACTGACATAATTTATAAAGGGATTTTAGTCAAGTTGTTAATTGATTAATATAATTTAAAGTTAAGGTTTTTTGTAATTCTAAAATTAGATTATAATATTTTGTAGTATTTTTTTTACTATTAAAAGATTTATTGTAGTCTAAATTGTTTTTTGTATTAATAATTTTCAAAATTACTTTCATTTTAACCTAAATATAAAAAGCAAAAACAAATCAACTAAAAATTTAAATATTTAAATACACTTTGGCTTTTTTTATATTAGACTCTTTATTACTGAATTATTAGTATCCTTAAAATTATTTTGTAATAATTCTAATTGATTATTAATATAATAAACTAATTTTTTATTTTAATTTTAACAAAGATTTTTTGATTTTTCTTTATTTTGTAAAAAGACTGTCATCAGACTACTTTAATGATTTAAATAGCTATATTCTTTTAAATCTGTCAAATCTTAAATATTAAAAAAATTAATTATTATAAATATTAAAATATTAGTATATAAATTTTTATCTATTTTGCAAATCTTTATTTTTATTGCTGAATTCTTCATTGATTTTAACAAGAAATTAGTTCTTTTTAAGAGATAAAAATTGTTTTTCTAATTTTTTATTTTTTTGTTAAATTTAACAAGTTTTTTTTTTAATTTTTGATTCTCTATGTAGGAATAAAATAAATATATTGTTTATTATAAAATAATGAATAGAAATAAATCAAAAATAATATATTTATTTCTAAATTGTTAAAATTATTTAGAAACTTAACTATAGCTATAGTTAAAGTACTTACTGTTAACTCTTATTAAAATTTAGATAAAGTCAAATTTTCCTATATCATTTTATATTTTTTTTGATATTTACTTTTATAATTTGAAAAGTTATTTAATATTATTATAATAATAATATATTATGGCTAACTTATCTTTAAAAACTTTAATACTTTTTCAAATAATTTTGTATAAACACATTTTTGTTTTTTTTTTATTATAGAAAAATAAAAAAATCAGTTTATCATTTAAAATATTACTAATTGATTAATAAAATTCAATTTATGTATCAGCTCTTTTTTGATTAATTTTAATTTTTTAAGGTATTTTTATAGTTTATTTCTTGTAATCATTAAAATTCAATATTTTAGTTAGTATTATTCTATAATTTTAATCAGATTTTGAATACAATAATTTAGCATCTAAGTTAGTATAAAGTAATTTAGAGTTGGTAATTAATAGATCTACTCTAATTTTCTGCTAATTTTTTATCAGTATTATAATACTATCATAATACTCTTATAATGTTAAATTTAATTTTTTAAATCACATATATATGAATAATTATTTACACTAGATCATATAACTTCAAAAATATATAATTAAAAAATACAGAAAGAAAAACAAATACAATAACAAAATAGATAACTAAATCATTAAAAAATAAAAATTAATATAATATAACTAACATAATATATTTTAATAAAAATAATAGTCTAAAAAATACATTTTATAATAAAGTAGATTATAATATAATAGTAATATATTAAAAAATAATATAAAAATAAAAATTAGAATTATGATCTAAAGGTAATTAGAATATCAAGTATAATATGAGTTCTTTGCAATAGAAAGGAAGGAAACTACTAAAAAAATTTTTTTTTACTTTATAAGCTAAATATTATTTTTTTAACAAAATAAATCCAGATTTAATGTTAACTCAAAAAAAATTTTTTTGGTAGTTTACTCCCTTTCTATTGCAAAGAGCCCATATAATTAATATATTAATCTAAATAATAAAGATATGATCAGTGATTGTGACCAGGCATATAATTAATAATGATTAACAAATTTAATAAAGTTAACAAAGTTGACTAATCTGATAAAATATTCATAATTAATT